CAGAAAACTCAGATAAAACGTTTTATGTGGTGGATTGTTCCATGCGGCGGTTGTTTGGAAGCATTTAGCAGCCAACAAGGAGCTTTATAGCAGCGTTGCGTTCACAAAATGCCAAAGGGTAGGTTGCGGATGTTCCTGCGCTGAAATCCTCTATGGTAGAACTTCTAGAAATGGTGGCTCCGACGGGATGTACCTTTAAAAAAGAAGATGTAGTTGGTCTGCTCATGTTTCCGGTTGCACCTCAGGTTTCATGTGTTTCCTAATCGAAGCAGAAGCAGATCTCGAAAATATTAACTATGATTACGCACAAAAGCGATAATCTCGCGAAAAAACCGCAATTGTTGAAGTATCCTAGCTTCAAATGAAGTTAAAAGGACGCGTGGTCCCACAACGAAGTGGACGATTTGCGATCGTGAAACTCGTCCCGCGTTTTTTTCCGGGCGTATATTTAGGCGACAGTCCTTCCGGCAATTCTGCAGATTCCTCCTCCCCCTGTCGACCGATCTCTATTCCTTTGCCCTTCATTTTGGCTGCGAACTGCGGAACTAGGGGAAATGTGGGTTTCATTTTTTCGATGTGTTTCTTTTCTCTGGCTGCAATTTCATCAGCCCAGTGTTGATTGATTGTGTCGCTATGAAAGATGCAGCGTAGTAATGAAGTCTTTGAATATATATTTGATTCCTTCATTTTTTTCATGACTATTGCAATGAGTTCGATTATCTCGTCCATGCTGCTGCCGCTGATGAAAGACGGCATGTATTTGGAGGAGATCGTTTTATGGGCACAGTGGATACAGAGACGGATCTGCGGCAGGAAACTGGATCTGACAAGGTTGGTCCTTTTTTCATTCAATCCATTCGAAGGGAAATTCCTGGCTTTGCAAGTGTTCACTTTTTTTTCGATGGACTCAGGTGTTGCCCAACTTTTATGGTTTTTTTATTTATAGGGTTTTTTGAATGAAGTGGAGTGTAGAACTGTTTTTGTCTTAATCTCTACTTTTTCTAATGAGCAGGCTTCTCACAGTTCTCCTAACAAAAGAACAAGTATTGGGCCCGAGGAAAAGTTTTATTATGTATTCTGAATGGTTTCTTTGCTTTAACGTTTTGCCCTTAGCTGAATACCCGTTACTTCTTTTGTCCTTCACTACCTGCCGTTGATCTAAAGGGTCAATAGGTCACTTGAATCGCGCCAGCCTGCACTAGGAAGAAAGTCATCAACGGTTTACGATGCTCTATTTTTATCCTTGTCCCATGAACTCCACAAAGGAGGCTAGAAGCACTGTGGAAAAATATGGCAAAATTTAGCATTATTATTATCAGTATAAGTAGTGATTGCGATTGATCACATAGTTGGTGTACCATTGCTGCAACCATTCTATTAGGTTGTAAAAAAGTTCTGCGCCATATTTTTTCGGCCATTTGACCACATTTTCGGATGAAAGTTTCCTTCTACTTTTTTCCTCGAGAGATCCTGTACAGACGGAACAGCTCGTGCGTGGTGTACGCAAGGACTCCAACACTTGCTACCAACCACAAGGTCTAACAGAAGTCGTTCAAGCGTGTACAATGAAAAGGAAGCTCAGTCACGGCTATCCCAGTGCATGGGGAGCGATACCCCTCCTCAAGGCAATGTGTGAGACGTGTCGCAGGACTTTCCTTCCAACCTAATATGTTGTCAGTGTTGAAGAATACCAAGTCACACGTCTCCATTGTCTGCGTTTTTCTGCTGTACTTTTTATCTATCTGACGGAAACACTGCGAATAGATTCCTGAGTTCAGGTTCGTGTTATACGATGAGGCGCTCATGTTCTATCTGTGGGCAAGTTGCCAATGTAGATAGCATGAGGCGGATGTATCCGTCCTCGAAAAAGCCAAATTTCATCTTAACGGCTTTGCTCTCTTACTGGGTCTCGTGGATAGGGCGCTTGTTGATAGTGTTTGGGAGACCCTTTGCAAGAATAGAATCTATGTGTGCCATATTCACGTTGTGCGAGGAGTCGGTGAACTTTGTGCAGCATATTACTTTGATTACATATATTTTCTTATGACAGGCCCAGTATATTTGTGCTGAGATCACACTCAGTGGAAGAGCCGTGTCGTACTACGAAGACCCGGACAGAGGGAAGCACTGCTTACTTCTGCACTGATGACCGTTGAGGTGATCAACGGCCTAAGTAACGTGGAGCTTTTATTATCATACAGTAAACATGTGCACAGTCCATACTGTAAATGAAGAGAGATTTTAAGAACAATATATCCATAAGTGCTCCAGATGTGTGGTCATTTATAAATGCCGCTATGAACAAGTATCGCGGGACTTCTCTAGGCCGGAACATTACGAGGAGGAGGAGGAGGTTCAGAACGCAGTGCCGGTGCATTGATCCAACATTGTTGAACAACCCAACCTTCAGGGGATGTTGGAAGAGGTTGACCGCAGCATGGCTGAGGCAGGGGAGCATTATGCTTATCCTGATGCAGTCGTGAAACAGGAGGTGGATCGAACAGAAGAAGAAGAAGAAGCCGTCATCAAGTCAGAGGCGGACTGTGGGGAAGATACTGAGAATACTGACGAGTACAGAAGTCATACATGCGGAAAAATAGAAGGTCACTCAGGCACGTCAACGTAGTGTCTGCCCACCTTGACCCGTGAATGTGCTCGGGCGATTTTCGTGGTCTCTTTGTTGTTTTCAATTTTTGTGCATCGTTTTCCATAAACATATTGTGGGAGATATCCTCTATTCTAGATATCCCCATCCTCTATAGCTTTTTTTACTTGGCAATTTACTGCGTGACCGCGCTTTCCATGAAATGGTGCACAAAAGAGCAAAGTTTCATTCGAAGGTCGCTAAGGGTCACATATGGGGGCTTACGAAATGTGGTGCGAGTGGCACCGTTGGCGCGGCTAAACTTGTTCGCAAATTATGACCGAGATAGTTGTTTGATTCTCCCAGTCTCACATTACAGAAACCCGGGCGATCACAAATCCTTCCGTCTCGCCCCCCTCCCGAACTACCTTGGCCCTCAGGAATTATTCTAAGCGTTTTTTGTTCTCACTAATGTTGGGCGGGAAGACTGTGCCCTCTGAGGGCTACGTTTTGAACTTCTGTTGCTGTGTCTTTTCATTCAGATCACTGTAGCAGTCATGTTTGCCTTAAATTTCTTCCCAAGATTCAAGGACGATTTCTACTGGTCTGTCTTTAGTTATAAAACTGTGTTCTTTCACATAGTGATCAATAAATGAATTCTTTATTTGTTACGTATGAACAGCACAGACTTATATACAAATTGCCAATTAAGGACACATAAACTAGTTGAAATTTGAGTGCCTCTTTCAATTCAGTATACGAGAATGAATGGAATAAAACTAATGTAAAGCTCTTCAACATAGCGCAACGCAAAGATACAGATGCTTAGGTATAAAAACAATCCGTTCACAAGGACAGATGCATACATATCATCCGTTGCCTTGAATTCGAATGCCCATGACCACAATTGGAATACCACATGATGTCGGCAAAACACGTTGTCATTTGACCTGGAAAAACATATACCTTACTGATTGCGCCATGTTCTCATGATATGCGAATCTCTAAGGCATTGCATAAGATGGCTCGAAGAAAAAAACCTTCGCAACTCTTCCCAAAGAACAGCTAGACAAATGAAGGAACACATATAAGGATAAGGTGAGGATCATGAAAGATTTCTGTCCAGTCAATTTTTCCCAGGACGAGTTCATCGATATGAGAATGTCATTGCAACTGGCTGGGTGGACCTGATGACCGTTCTCCTATTAAGATGTTTCTTCAACCATTGATGTTTCTGAGCAGTTAAGTTACAGTTACATTTGCTTCTTGCGCCATTGACCCTTCACATATTGAACACAACAGTGGATAAGAACATTCTCTAAGCACTCTTATGAAACTCAACGTACCAAAACTCTATAGTATGACTTAGAATTACCACCTTTTGCCAAATGGCAGCAAATGCGCCACAGCCGGATCGTTTGTTGATGTGATCGATAGAGTAGTCGGTAGCACAAATATATCTCTACTAATTTTTCGTCACGCGTTCAGTATCATTTGTGATCCTTTTACTATAGGCATAGGCGAAGGGCAGCCGCGACGCGGTTTAGCTTAATCCCCCCAACCAAGATCATCAACATTGCGCCATTCATCCATTGTATGTGTTTCAACCATCCCATCTCTGTGATTCATCGCCAACGGCTTCGCACAGGGGATGGCGTGCAAGCCAGCTAAGCAAGGCCTCCAGAGACTCAGCCGAGTTCTAAAAGCCCTGAACGAGAACGGCTATAGAAAGTAAGTCAAAGGAAACAAATGGCAGTTGGTGGCTCCACTTCTACTGCATACTTCTCCTACACGTCCTCCGTTCCCTGCACCCAATTCTACTCTTCAGACAGTAAAAAAAAACAGCTGCAACAGAGGTTGTGAGCGGGGTCATTTCCGCAAGTACCCAACTAGCTCAACATTGCAATGTTGTAGCGCGTGGTTGTATGATATATAGCGCAACCACATGGCCACCTACCAAATACAGAACTGGTCAAAATGTCCTCGTGTCTGGTAGACGATTTGACTGTCAAAGGCCAAGGCGTTTACCAGGCATGAGAAGTTGCTTGAAATTAACTATGCTTTTTCTTGTGTGATCATCAGATGACCTGACGGGGAACATAAGCATACAAGTCAACACTAACCGCTTTATGTAGGCTATCAATCGCGAAAACCTCATAGTTCAATGGGACGAGTTATGCAACCTGGTGGACAGACGGACTGTCAGAACATGTAAATAACAAGGTACCAAACGACCGCTTTCTCCAGGTCAAGTCTACTGGCTAATGAATACTGCGGCTAATTCTGGGCGCGATGGGGCGCCTTGAATGTAATGAACTACACCCCTTCTGCCCATCTAGAGCCCATCGAAATGTAAAATCCATTCACTAGCTACACACCTACCTGATTCAGAATCCGACATTGCTCTATCGTGTTCTTAGCCCGTTTTCAGCTCATCAATACAGACCACCTGAAAAAGAGGTGTCCCTTCAAAGCAGAAATTCCGTCAATCAGATATTTAGTAAATGCTCAACATTACTAAGAGTAAAAAAAGAGGTCTCGTTATCGATAAGGAACATCCTACCGTATATATGGCGAAGAATATACAAAACGCCACAGCAGTTAATGCGATGAGATAAGCAAAGGCAGCAAAAGTGAAGGCCATTCCAGAAGAACCTGGAACACCAAATGGTGAATGAATGAAAAGGGTGTGACTCATTAGGAAAAAAAACAATACATAGAACGTTATAACCTATAATCCCTCTAGGAACGGAAAAAATGTCTCGTTCTACGTCCTCAGCTAACCACTTGTTTGATCCTCAGCATGCAATCCTTTTTCAATAATGGTGCCCATTCGTCCTCCATACTGATGTGAACCAGGCCAACACCTTGAACAAAACATATGTTACGTCGATTATGGAAAGAATTTTATTGCTGACGAACGCTATAGGAAGTGACACTTAAGACTAGACAGATCGATGAACATTAACACTCGGAGAGGTTCACAATACAACTTGCAAGAACAAGTGTAAACAGAAAAGAGAGAAAAGTAGGGAGGAAGGAACAAAAACGAAAGGCGGCGGTTGATGGTTGAAATCGTCGGTATGGTAGTCCTGTCGTTTGTCGAAAAAAAAACAAGTGGGCTCAGCCCCGAGCGCTTTTTCTCATCACCCGCAGCAAACCAGGGTATAGTTGTACTGTTTAGTCATCAACGTACTTACGAGATGATGTCGACTTTTTAGTATTTCCAGTTACTTCGGATTAGTTCAATCAATGAAAGTTTATGTACTATCCTACTATAGATAATCGGCTATGTCCGTATGTGTGTGTGCGTGTGTGTGCGTCTGTCTGTCTGTCACGAAATTCATAGCACCTGAAGAAGAGCTTGGAGGGGTCGGGTCATGGTGGGGATGGGTAGAGCATGGGACAAAACCTAAATAGCACCCATGACCCATGGTAAGCCCCGCCCACAGTGGGCGGGGCGTGCGTCGAAATTTAGCGGTGTCACTGAAAAAAGTCATAACTCGGTTCCAGGGCAGTCCCGAGATGAGGAAACAGTACAGTAAACTTAACAAAGGTTTGATCGTCCACATAGAGAAGACATACCCCAAATGGGCGGCACTTCCCGTGTCACTGAAAAAAGCTGTAACTTGGCTACAAAGCAACCCGGAGACGGGAAAAAGTGGAATAAGGTTAGCATTGGGTTGGCAGAGCAAATGGAGGAGACACACCTGAAATGGGCGGGGTGTACTTGAGATGGGCGGTACTTCTTCCAAAGATCGGTAACTCTGTTCCCGAAATACGGGGTACCAGTTTAAAAAAATCGTAGTTCGGTCCTAAAGCACTACAGACGGCACACAAAAGTGGATTACGGTCCCCAATTGATCAGATGTCAGAATGTGCGAGGCACTCCCGTTGTGGACGGAGCGAGAATGGAAAAAAATCCTGAACGGTCCCAGAACACTCCAGACATCAGGGAAAAGTAGTTTGAGATCAGCGAGGGGTCATCGGTTCACAAGTGTGAGGCGCACCTGCTGTGGCCTGGAGCGTGCGGCGAGGCGGGCAAGCTGAATTTGAACTAATTCGACGGTTTTACAGCACTTCAGAGACCGGAAAAAAGTATGTCATGGAGGGGGTCACCGATTCACAAGTGTGAGGAACACTCGTTGTGGGTGGGGCTTGCGTCGAGGTGGGCTACGTTTTAAAAACTCTTCAAGCGGTTCCAGATCACTCCAGGCCTCTCTGTGATACGGCCCGGCTTGCGGGGCGGTCGTCGCGCCTGCCTGCATTCGTATGATCAAATGCTCGACTAATACCCGGCTTTTCTCTCATCTGTCCACTTGATCAACGCTCCTTACCACCATTCCATACACCGTAATAGTGTTGAAAATAGCAGGTATGATGTGGAATATGAACATACTATTGGTCAAAGAATGTTGACCATCTGCTTCAAGTAAAAGAAAAGCCTGCGTGGAAGAAGACGTAGCCGCTCTATATCTCAGAAGGAGGCGCGCCGGCGTGAGCCGGCAAAGCCGGCTCTTTTTTTACGTATCCGGGTTTTCTGCAAAGCAACTTTCGCTAAACAGAACTCAGCCCACTGACACCTTTGCGCTGCTCGTTACTGCCTGTCCCACTCATTACGACCTCCCCCTCTCAAAGCGGCCAAATACGACCCCTTCCCCTTTCCTGTTGGGGAATCCCCAACAACGATGTGCCCTGCCTTGATATGTGTCGAATGAAAGAGTAGCGAGCTTGGAAGATGTTTTTGAGACCACGCGATGTGGTGTGCGCGGCAATCTGCAAACACCGCGGGCTTGGAGCGTGCGCTGCGGTGTTTGTAAATTTTACAGGTTGAACTTATTGCTTCATTGGAACAGATTGTGTTTCTTTCAGTTTTCATTTATGCTCTGCACACTGACAGGGGCTTGATTGTCATGACCGGTAGGCTTTATTTGAATAACAAGTGAGTAAATAGGAATTTCAGTGCAGGGAAACCTGCACAGGTTCTACTAATCAGTTATTTTAGCTTATTAGCTGGTGGTCTCCCAATCACTTGACAGTCATGTTGCATACTCTCAGTAACTGTACTTATCCTAGCATTGTTGAGGTACGGCGGACTGTCTTATGAGAAAATTAGCAGCGAAATATAATTGTCGCGATAACAAAACCATAGCGAGCGTGCGCTGTTCATAACCATGCGGTTTTTGTAATTGTCGTGCGCGACGTCACTGGTCCTACCGTCACATTCCCCGCGAGTTCAGTGGGCCATACCGCGCCATCATTAAAAGTGTGAGATACGCAACGTCGGCACAACCGGAAAGATCCGAAGTTTGTCCACTCTCCGGGTGCCCATTTGAACGGAGAGAACGGAATCGATACCTATTAAGCTCTTTTCTTGATGGTAGAGAATTCGCCGACTCGGTTTTACGTATCGAAACCTTTAGTGGATGCGCTGAACTTGTCGATACGGAGGCTCCATCAAGGGTTTCCCATGCTTCTTCCCTTGCAATACGGTACCTCGTTATCACAGCGATTTCGTTATGTGAGCGCTCGACGTGAAATTCGAGATAGCTCAGTTTTTTTTGTGTGTTCCTCCAGACAGATAAACACTCCGAGATTTA